GTATCTTTAGTTTGGAATTTGTTGTAGATCCATACCAAATGAATGACACGAACGCTGAGTGATGATTAACAAAGGATCTCAGATGTATTCAACCGTATTTGGATTTCTCCTAAAAAAAATTGTATCAGTTATTTATGAAGGCTGAGTGATATTGAATGATCTCAGACCATATTGATATATGTCTTTTACTTGCATTTTTGTAATTAACACTTTTCCAAATCAGATCTATACAGTTTGTAATTAAACAATAGTATTCAAAGATCTACAAAGGCTGAGTCAAATTTATTTTATAAACTGTATTTTTTATTTGTGTACTTCTGGAAATGTTCGGTTTCAAAGCTTGTTGTTGAGTTCATATATTTTATATGCTATCTTGACACACTACATGGTTTTGAAATTAATACATCCATAAATGGTGTTTATCAATTCTGTTATCTGTATTTGTGACTCTGGACTATTGAACTTATAAATCAGTTCAGACAATATAAACATATAAAACTACCTTTGTTGGTCAAGTCTTCAAGCTTTCTTTTTCTGTTGATTGTGGTGCTTTTGGTGATCCTCTTCATTGAAGAGTTGTTAGTAAGTTGGCCAATTCTATATGCTGTCAGATTCCCTGCCAGCCACCTAAGTGGCCTTCGGATCTGCGTGGTCTGGCAGTCATATATGAACATGCCATTGTTTATTTTATACTAAGGTTGAGTGATACCTAATGATCTCAGACCTAATACTGCTAACTGCTTCGCACTTGCATGTCAATTGGATAATAAGATTCCAATTTTGAAGCACAGATCTATACGATTTTAAACGAAAAGTTGTGGATTGTTTTAGATCTCTTATTATTCTGGTATTTTGTTTTTAAACCGGCAGGTCATCTGTTTAATATGATAATTATTCTGGTATTTTGTTTTTAAACCGACAGGTCATCTGTTTAATATGATAATGTTGAATATTTAGAGTCTGTTGGTATCTTTAGTTTGAAATTTGTTGTAGATCCATACCAAATGAATGACACGAACGCTGAGTGATGATTAACAAAGGATCTCAGATGTATTCAACCGTATTTGGATTTCTCCTAAATTGTTTTTTTGTATCAGTTATTTATGAAGGCTGAGTGATATTGAATGATCTCAGACCATATTGATATATGTCTTGTACTTGCATTTTTTTAATTAACACTTTGCCGAATCAGATCTATACAGTTTGTAATCAAACAATAGTATTCAAAGATCTACAAAGGCTGAGTCAAATTTATTTTATAAACTGTATTTTTTATTTGTGTACTTCTGGAAATTTTTGGTTTCAAAGCTTGTTGTTGAGTTCATATATTTTATATGCTATCTTGACACACTACATTTTTTTGAAATTAATACATCCATAAATGGTGTTTATCAATTCTGTTATCTGTATTTGTGACTCTGGACTATTGAACTTATAAATCAGTTCAGACAATATAAACATATAAAACTACCTTTGTTGGTCAAGTCTTCAAGCTTTCTTTTTCTGTTGATTGTGGTGCTTTTGGTGATCCTTTTCATTGAAAAGCTGTTAGTAAGTTGGCCAATTCTATATGCTGTCAGATTCCCTGCCAGCCACCTAAGTGGCCTTCGGATCTGCGTGGTCTGGCAGTCATATATGGCCTTAATACATGTAACCTAACCCATTGCCATACATTCCAGTAATGTAAAGTAAATAAAACCTCACATTTCTACAATTTTTTCAAAAACATCTTTGCATTCCATATAGTTTGGATTTCAACATGTACTGAAAAACCTATGAAATGCATAAACTTATATATTCATCAAACCATTCTTCAGTTGTGTTTCTTCAAAAAAGCATATGCATACAACCATCAACATAACATTACATTACAATCATTACATAGAATACAAACATGGCCTAGGATTATTTGAGATCATAAATGTCACACAATTTGCAAAAAACAAAACAGCTTGGCTCTTACATATCCCACAAAAACCATAAGCATATTTCATGTACATAGTATGCATGAATACAGTCATGCCATTTTAAGCCAATCAAAACTCATCCCCACAGTGACGTTTTCATTGAAGTACTTTTAGTTGAGTGTTACAGACCGACCTGATCTTCTAGGTATTATAGGGCCTGCATCTAGGCATTGTTGACATTGTTGGCATATGTAATTCCGAGTATACCTTTTCTTGTTTAGAGGCCTCATGCAGTAAAAGTGACCTAAATTTTTATTACACCAATAGCATGGTACCAACCAAAACAGCCCCAGGTGTTTTCCACATGCATGACATTTTGGAGCATTGCATTTTGAACATGAACAGCACCTCATCTTAAACAGCAAAGTTCAATTTTTGTCATTAAGTTTTTTAGAAAATAAAAGTATTAAAACTTATTTCAATTTTTTTCATTATGTTTAGCATAAAAAAGATTTCACTGGTACTTATATCATTTGTAGATCATTTTGTCATTCAAAACCATAGTAGAAAACATACCTTAGGTTTGTGTAGAAATATCAATTCTCATACTTTATACTGGAAACAGTGGCAGCCTGCTTTGTTTAGATGTTATGGTTGAGCTGAGTAAATGAGTTTCTGAGCAGGGAGTAAATGCATTTACAATGGTATATATGCACCCAGACTGCAGTAATGGTTATTGACCACTGGTATGTAATATTTGTTATTAATTGTGATATGTACCTACTGTCTGTGCTCATTTAATGAGCAGACCTACACGCCATCCTAGTATTGGGATCCTGCAGGTTGGTTCATTTAATGCGAGCAGACCATGTGTAAATGTATTGAAAACATGTTTAAAAATGTTATTAATAAAAAATGCCTGCCGAAAAAAGATTTTCATAATTATAAAAATCATGTACTTGGTTTGTATCCTTGTTTCCTGTGTATGCTTTTATTAAATGTGCAGACCTAATTGTCATCCTAGTTCCTCTGATTTGATAGTGAACTGGTATGTATTTAATGCCTTTCTTATCACTATGTACTCCTAAACACAGTAAGCCACTATATATTATTACTTCTTAGTGGTTAATTCTAAATACGGAGTATTCCTTTACAAAAAAAGCAACTGCACTTGAAATTTAATTTTTTGAGCAAACATCTGTTATTATACAAAAATCATATATACGAGACATTCTATGTATAAATTATGTTTATTATGTCAAATGATTTGTCAAGTATTACGTACATTGATGCTTCACAATAACCATATGATTGTTTTAAATACGATGTTGCTGATTTTTAACAGTTTGGTTTAAATCAACAACTTCATTTAAATCTTTATGATTTAACAGATTGGTTATAACCAAATGATTCAATCTACGTTTTTTTGTAAGAATATTACTTTGAATAAACCTTTTTACCTTCAAACTCTTATATGGCCTATGAATAATTATTAATTGGAAAAGCTTGACATTTCAAATCAATTGGATGCCTGCGCCCGCATATCTAGGCCAAAAAAACTTCTCAACAGCTGCTTTTGTAACCATGTACTTCACAAATTTTAACTGAAATCATGTTTACGTGCTTCAATAAGTGTTCTCTACTTAAAATTATGACTCTGTTAATTCTCCTTCCTTGATTTAAAAATATATATACCTCATTTCTTTTCTAGCAACAACATAAAAGTCCATTTCAAGAAATGATTGGTTTGAGAAGTTTCAAGTGAAGTACATTGGTTAAATTTTCAAGTGTGGTATAAAGCAACTGCACTTGAAATATAATTTCTTGAGCAAACATTTTTTATTATACCCAAATCATATATATAAGACATACTATGTATATAGATGCTTATTATGTCAACGATAAATATAATTATTTAGTACATTGATGTTATACAATAACCAAATGATTGTTTGAAATACAAAGTTGTTGTTTTTTAACAGATTGGTTAAAATTAAAACTTTGTTTAAATCTTATGATTAAACTGCAGATTGTTAAAGCTCTATGATCAGAATTAGTTAATTGGATATAATAACTCTCTATACTCACTTCTTTATACCTTAATTCTTGCAGGTGTAATTTTCAAGTTGAAAGATATTTCAATGACTGCCATGTAGAAAAATGTAATAGAAATAATTCTGGAGCCTTAGAAGGTTGCCATTTATGTAAACATTCAAAAAGGTCTCTAATATTATTTAGTTAAAATTAGGGATTGCAGGTTTCATCAACCATACCAATTGGTCAGGTATGTCACTTTACCTCTCCTTATTGGCCCTATTTTCAACTCTCATTGTTTGTAGGCTGTCTGTAGTTTAGAACTCCATTTAGCTTTGGAAATATTAGAAAACCAATTCTTATTTTCAATCATAGCAAATGTATTAACTTCTACAATAAACAATACAAATTTAGCTTTGAAATCCAATGAATACACTTTTGAAATCAAATAAATACACCTCTCATTCAAGAATGAACATAGTTACAAAGTTTTACGTTTCCTAATACTTCAAAACATACTCCGTAGTTAGAAACTTGTTGCCTTCATTTAGGAGTCTCCACATGCCTAAAACTTTTTTTCACCTGCAAATCATTTATAAGTGTGTCAATGTCATTATAAAATTATTTTATAAAACTTGCCAATATGAATTATGTGTAAAGACATCCCTTAAAGTTAGCAATTTCTTCTCTCTGTAGAAAACCTGCAATTGCTCAACAAATACACAATCTTTAGAGGACCAAGGTATAATACGTCCACAACATAGCATCATCAAATTAGCACACCACACTATAGACATAATATAGGTTATTTGAAGTCTTTCACACATAGTGTTTCACTTCCAAAATACATACGGCCCCTTGATACAGTTTTCCAAAAAAAACCAACACCGCATTAGTTGTTTCCACAAAAACATCGAAACGTTATCTTCACTTCTTTGCAAACCCAATTACAGTTTTTCCTGCTTGATTTTAATCTTCAGCTTCTTTCCATTCCCATTGCCTGTAAACTCATCATTGAGATTCCTTTTTATCTCGTCATCCAATTCAACAATCATCTCTCTTTGTGTAGAAGCAACAGGCGAATCTGAGAGCTCAATGGGGGCAGTAACCTAGTATGAATAGAAAGAAACTCCATTTTCAGAATTTCGTAATTCAAACCATTATAAACCTGTTAGGTTGATTAGCATTTTACCTCCTTCTCAGCTGAAATCCGTTTTCCCTTGCCCTTAGTAACAGAAGACTTCTCTCTTATCGAGTTGTCATTTCCTTCCAAGTTTGAACATGAACCAATCTGAAATAGAAAGATTCACTCTAGGCATCATCTTTAGATCTAAGCTGAAAATGAACTATTAAAGATTAAAGATTTTTTTCAAATACCTTCTCTGGAGTACACTCATGGCTTTCATTTGATACCAATTGCTCATGATTTCCTTCATACATTGCCAGCACATTAGGATCTCGAATCATACTAACAACTCCAAGGGAAACACTACCTTTATAGGCATTCTCTTCACCTCTCTTCTTTAGCTGTATTTTGAATATTCCCTTTTTGTCAATCAAGCTTTCAATATTTTCTGGAAAACAGGTTGGATCACTTGTTTTCTGTTTTTTTGCCAAGTTGCATTATGAAATAGAATGAGTGGTCTACATAGAATAAAATTGCCGTGAATACAATATAGATGTTACCTTTTGGACCTCAGCCATTAGGGATGCAGAAGTTTTCCCCAGAATCTCAATACATTCCCTATCCCATAGAATAAAATTTCCGTGCCCGGTGTTGTCCATGATGCACACACTGACCTTGTAACTTAATCATTATCAGGTCCATGATGTGTTAGTTTATTTGAAATTCATATTTGTAAAACAATACATTAACCCCAACAACATTATCTCTGGCATCAAATAAGGTGATATTATAGTACCGGTAGACTCCTTCTCCTAGTGTCACGCTGCAAGTAGAACACCTGAACCTCTCCTCCTCCGGTACCAATTTTTTGTGACATGTTGGGCAACTTAGGTAGCACCACTCCCGAGTATTTTCGATAGAAACTATCTCATCAAGCACCCAGTAAATCTCCTCCTATTCATTCAAAATGTTTTTGACACACAATGATTACAACCAATTACAAATGCTGCTTACAAAAATCCCTCTAACACATATTTACCTCAGTTGCATTCATCAAATCCTCCATAGTGGTTATGACAGCATGACCACTAAGCACATCCCTACTCCCTTCACCTTGTGAGCAGTTTGTGTTGCATGTTTGAGATATGGAGTCATCACCATCCGCCGGAAATCTATTATTTGTTTCATTGTGCAAAGTAAGTTATTGTTTTTTAAAACTTACTATTATTATTAGATTAGATAATTATAAGTCAAAAAATTTATGAATCGTACTCGCTCTGGAACTCTAAGAATTCGGTTGTGTTTCCATTGATGATGAGTTTGGACACATCAAAAGATGAAGCCACACTTAGGGTGCCTGCTTGTAAATAACATTGTTAAGAAACAATTGATGATACGTTGATGTTGGTGAAATAGCAAAATTAGATGTTGTAATACCTCGGTATCTTTTGGGTCTACACAGTTGAAATATCACAAAAACAGCAATTCCAGGGTTCTCATTAACATAATCCTGATACTGGTTATATATTTGTTCCATAGAACACAACCTAGTCTGTTTCCCCTGTAATTTCAAAAAGATTTTAGCCATTAGCATAACAAATTATTTTCGTACCCATAACATTTCTAAATGAAAAAAAAATACTCTGGGTCTGCCACAGTTAGCTCCATTAGCCTTTCTGTCTTCCCATTGATGATATGAGTTTGAACAATGCTTTTATTGATAACCTTCCCAATGATATCTGAAACAGTGGAATGGAAACTGTTGTTAGCATAGTTCCATAAGTTATTTAGTTAGGTCTATAATTTGATTTTACCCACCAATGAGAGTTTTGTCGTTGATAACCCTTTGGGCGTGCAGCATATCGAAAGGTTGGAAATCGTAGACCATCATAGGCAATTCTGTCTTCGTATCCTCCCTGAATTGGGTTTTAGAGATGAACTGAATTAGGTAGGGATGATTTGTGGTCTTCACTATTTGGTAATTGTCTAGAACTAAGAAGTTCCTTATAGCATAGATCTTGTGCTCAGTTATTATAGTCTTGTACATGGCAATCTGTGGTCTCTTGATTATTGCATGAATCCGATCTCCCTATTTTACAGATTCAAAAGTTAACAACGAACGTTTTATCATATAAAATATTTTTGATATAAGTATAAATTGTACCTCGGCGTCATGCAAAACCATCTCGAGGGTCTCCCCTCCTTTTGAGTGAGAAGGCACCTCATAAGCCCTTACAACCCTAACCTTCAGAGCCAACTTGGCGTGATCAATGTCCTTGATCATAGACCACATCCCCGTTGTAGATGAACCTGCCATTGTTTAGTTTAAACTCTAAATCTGGAATTGCTCGTTTGTGGTGTGTCTAGAAAATCCTTCACTTGGGTATTTATAGTGGCCGTGGAGAGAACAGTTTCTGCCAAAGGGGTATTAACCAAGGGATAATTTCCCAGTTAATCTTTAAATTGGGATTGTGGCGTACAAAATCCTTTTATTGTAATGTAAAGATAGTATAGTGCATTTAATGTTTGTGTGGCTCAAGACTTGCTCTGGGATTTTTTTTGTACTTTCAAAGTTTTTTAAAGTACAATTTACACCATTTATTTAATCCTCAAATTAGCTTATTTCGAAATGGGGGTGAGACGTACAAAAACAGTCTAATCATAGTACAATTCAATTAATGTTTTTGTGGCTCAAGGTTGTGTGGAGATTTTATTTGCTTTTCTACAGATTTAAAAGTACAAATTGTATATTTTCTTAATAAAAGCAGCAAGCATGCGAACTGGAGACATTGGTTACTATACCAGCATTAAAACTACATTGTGCTGAACTCTGGCCTGTTTCTGAACCCATGGACAATCTTTAAATCGGGCCTGTGGCGTACAAAATCCTTTTATTGTAATGTAAAGATAGTATAGTGCATTTAATGTTCGTGTGGCTCAAGACTTGCTCTGGGATTTTTTTTGTACTTTCAAATATTTTTGAAGTACAATTTACACCATTTATTTAATCATCAAATTAGCTTATTTCGTAATGGGGGTGAGAGCCACAAAACTGTCTAATCACAGTACAATTCAATTAATGTTTTTGTGGCTCTAGGTTGTGTGGAGATTTTATTTGCTTTTCTCTTGATTTAAAAGTACAGATTTTTGTGGCTCAAGGTTGGTTACTGTACCAGCATTAAATCTGCATTGTGCTGAACTCTGGCCTGTTTCTGAACCCATGGACAATCCGACCCGATTACTTGAAGACCCGACCCGAACCCATTGATGTGATATTTTTGAGCGGGAATACTGTGCAAAATTTCTCTTGCTTTTGTATAATAGAAGATTGAGGTTTTGCCTCGACGTCTTGCCACGCCTCTCGCCTTTTAGAATAATGGGTGGGATACACAAACTCAAGTGAAAGGTAGCATTTTATCTAATGGAGTAATGATATTTTAAAGGTTCTATAAATTTTTATCACGGATGGAAACATAGTTGTTTGAAAATAGTGCACGACCAATTTCAAAAGAGTAATGCTACATTACATGTACACATCACTGTTGACACGCTCACAAAGATGATTAATTTAAAGTTTTGATTTTTTTAATGAATTGTTTATTTACACAGACAATTAGAGATGAACGTGTATAAAAATGTATAAAATGGTATGTAGAAATGGTTTATTCCTTTCAAATATTGGGAGTCGGGTAATACCAAATCAGGCCGACATAAGCTAATATATATGTAGTTTATACTACATTCATTCCTTAAAAAATTGTCATCTTTTTTTTTCAAGTCAATGTTAGTAAGCTTTGATCAATGATTTTGATTAATATAATTATATCAAACTTATAAATAGTGCAAAACAGTGCAAAACAGTCCCAAACATTGTACGCTACAAATAAAGTAAAATTTATTTCCTTAATTTTTGTGAAGTCAAACACTGAACTTTATTTAAGACCGGAGGGAGTATATCATATACTCCGTTATGTTTGTTCTAAGTTTCAACTAAGTGTGCGCGGCTCATTGCTGAAATACCAATTTTAGTTGGAGTGTCACAATTTGTGAGCATATCATTAGCTTCACATCTTCACCCGTCCAAAAACCAGTTCTTGTTAAAGGTACTAGTACAGCACCCGTGCGATGCACGGTGGGTGAGTCTGTTGGATGAGTATAATTACCGTTAGACTATAAATCTAATTGAAAATAAAGTTAAATATCATAAATTGTGAATATTAAAAAATGAAATTGTAATACGTAAGTATATTGTAATATGTAATGTGATTTTAATACAATATGAAATTTTAGAGATTATGGAATACTTCCTTATAGACAACATTCACGGTTTCATCTATCTTGTAGTCACCTACGTCAACATCATCGATATCCAGATCTTGCGTGAAATAACTACACAAAGAAACATTAGTGTTGTGCAAGATATTATCTGTGTGATCGGATGAAACTGACGTAGATCGTAGATCATACGATCTCTTCTGAATTAGATTCAGCCTCGTAAGTGGTGTTTGTTTGGAGAGTACACTTGATACTGATGGTTGAGCGCTCGACACCAAGACTACATTATTATTACACAACATTGGTTAATAAAATAATCAAAAGTATAATTAGTTTAAAAATAGGTTTCAATAGTAAGCCAAAAACATCTTGATAAATTTACTATTGGTGACATCCACCAGAGGGGAACTAACAGAAGTTATAGGCTTTATAGATGATGTAAGACTGTGATGAAGAGATTCTTGAAATCGAGCGTTTTGCAAAATTCTTCGATTTACGTCACGCTCGTTGTCACTATCATCTGCGTAAAAAAATATGGTTGACCACATTAGTAGGAAAGGTAATACTATCCATTTTATTGAAAACGACACGTATTAATTTTTAACTATTAAAAACTTTAAATCACATAAAAATATTTTTGAAATTTCTCATCAACGCTAAAAATATTACGTAAACTTCACAATTTACACATCCACACATTTGTGTGTCTATATATTTGAGAGGGCAATTTGATGAACCTATATTAATTTTTTAAATAAAAGTGGTTAGTATATTTTAATTATATTATTAAAATATAATAATATAATTAAAATGTTTGAGACCATCACAAATGATCACTCTGGACAAATAGTGTGAGCTCTGTACTTAAACAAATCCAATCATAAAAATAAATTCATCATCTACTATTTCGCATTTATAATACGCAATATTTGTCAAAGGTTATTTGTCTATCGCGTATTACAATGCCGTTTTTGAACATGTTTAACATGTCCTATATAACAGGCCCCACCATGGAGCCCAAATTTTTAATCGTAGTATTATAATATACTACTGAGAAGCTTTTCTGGTGCATTTGGATGTACATGAAGTTTTGTATTTGAGCCCCATGGTGGGCTCTGTTATATTACTTATATATACTACTGAGAACTTTTCTGATGCATTTGGATGTACATGAAGTTTTGTATGGTCAAAACCATTTAGACTACTTTAAGATCAATTTTTTTGATAAATTTAGTGAGCATGTTCTTCATAAAGTGTACTACCTCCGTCCCTTAAAACTTTGCCAAAGTTGATCGGCACGGAGAATAATAAAGTAAAAACTGTGTGGTTGAGATTTGTGCAGAGGAGAGAGAAAAAACAGAAACCACAAAATAATTGATTAAAAGGGAAAGTGACAAAGTTTTTTGGGACGTCCCAAAAAGGAAAGATGGCAAAGTTTTAAGGGACGGAGGGAGTATATTATATCTACAAATTTTCATCTTAAAATTCAAATGGGAAGTCAGCTAAATAACTTATTGACAAATATTGCGCCAAAATATGTATAAATAACGCATTGTTTTTCAATAATTTATTGAGTTGAATTCTCAATCAATTTTCAAGCTAAAATGTTATGGACATAATCTACAATTAATGAAAAACATTCTAACATTTGTTTATCAAACAATTCCACCTCAAAGAACCTCAAACACATCTGACAATAACGTCCGAGCACTCGACTCCTTAACTACATTATGAGGAGGATAACTTTTGTTAATCAAAGAGTCTACGATACAATTACTTGAATAATATGTGTTAAAAATAGGTAGCTCATGGACATTTTGGTGTATTTACCAACCGTGACATCCATTAAAGGGGAAATAGTTGAAGATATTTGCTTTATAGTTCCCGTAACACTGGTACAAAGAGATTGATGAAACCGAGCATTTTGTACACTACAAATAAAGTCAAATTTATTTCCTTAATTTTTGTGAAGTCAAACACTGAACTTTATTTAAGACCGGAGGGAGTATATCATATACTCCGTTATGTTTGTTCTAAGTTTCAACTAAGTGTGCGCGGCTCATTGCTGAAATACCAATTTTAGTTGGAGTGTCACAATTTGTGAGCATATCATTAGCTTCACATCTTCACCCGTCCAAAAACCAGTTCTTGTTAAAGGTATTGTACCATGAAAATGCTTAAATTAGTAATTATAATTAAATCTGTATGTTCAGAATATACATTACTCCATATCTGTATATATTTAACAATGGAATCGGCTGGGATAACCTGTTCCCGCCTGATTCCATCGTGACAACCAAATGGACAGATCTGGCCATTAAAGATTACACGTGTCAATTGATCGTTAAATACAAATTCTACTATTGCACGATCAATAAAATCCTGTCTATTCTCTGAAGCCACCACGTGGCAATACTATAGGGCATGCGAAGTGCATAATGGGCCAGTTGCATGTCAACCTGCACGAACACAAAATGGCAGTTTATCAGCGGTTTTAACCCACTAAACTCAATATTTATATGCGGCGAGATTAAGAACTTTAGCCATCAAAACTCAGGAGCACGAATATCAGTATATTTCCACACGCTTAAATAATACTCCGTATTAATAATATTAATTTTTAATACATACTCCGTATTAAAGTTCTTCAAGGAAGTTCCACGCCTGTTTGGAGGAGTGGGGGTTACAACAGAGTGCAAGCACGATTACATTAGGTGAATTCACATAAAAATACTACAACATAATTCTGAGTATACAACACACAAAAATTGAGTATTCCCCCTTCAAGCACCGGCTACCCAGGTTCTGAAATTAGACAACTGAACAGATCCAATGAGAAAGCTAACTGGCGGCCATACTATGAAGAGGCAGAATGAGAATAACAGTCCAGGTATTTTAATAAGTGTAAGATAAAAGGAGGACAATGTTCCTGATATATTTAGTTATTTTATGTTTCTGAGGTTATTAGAGGTAGATAGTTACAGAATTTTTTAAAAGCTTGAAGATAGATTTACGTTAAAATCATGCCATAGATGTGATGAACCTTTAATCAGGTAGAAAACATGAGTTTGTCGTATATATGTCCGTATTGAATCAGGTTTGTGAAGTGAAATAGCTCCAACTCAGAAACAAATTGACATGACTTTTAGTTAAAAATCCAAATTAAGGATGCATTTGTGTGTATTTGTACTTAAGATGCGTATATAGCTTACAAAGAGATTTAAAAACAAATACACACACATATAGCCACATACACTTATTGTATACTTTGACCACATTATTTTAGGTGCTTTGACCCCATTAGTATTCTGAAAAATGGATTCAACTTAGAAATTCATTACATAATCTTTGCTGCTTCCATGCCTCAAGATTATGTTTGCTTACGTATCCTTCACTATACAACCCCAAATTATTTCCAAAAATAAGCATGGCAGAAAGCAGAAGGCCATAGATCAGACAAATGAGTTTATAATAGATAGCAAACAAAAGACTCAGAAACTAGAATTTTGCACCTTTATGTTGAAAAGCTTGCACTTTTTCATGATGCTTTTCTTTAACTATTGCTCAAAAAAACAATTGTGATGGATAAAGTACTTGAAAATGAACAACCAATCACATCCAGTTTCATTAATCTGCAATAAACATATAATAACACATTATGAATGCTTCATTTTAGTGCAAATGATCAAAAGATAGACATACACTACAATTATTTCATCATACAAGTGAATATATTCTTATCTTTTGTATAATGCCTTGGTGTGCTTCCTGCTTGAGTATCAAGTCTCTAGCATCCTCCATTTTGACTGAAATCAGCACAAACATTTCAAATTACACCAACATCACACCTAAATGCTCTGTAGTGATGTGCATAAAAAACAATAATGATTATTCAAATATAATACCAACAATCTCAAAATAATTCTCCAGTATTAAGCCTCCAGTATTAAGTCATACTTTGAAAAAAGAGAAAAATACAATGCATACACACACACACACATATATACACCTTTAATACACTCAGTAAGCTGGGAAGGATAGGATAGGCAGATAGTATGTAACATAGAGAGAAAAGTTGTCTATTTTAGAATCAAAAATACAGTACATCATTTGCACATTATTGTTCTGTTTGAGCTCATTTTATATTTTCGTATCAATTATTTTATCTCTTTTATTACTTTATTATTGATTACTCAATAGTCTTGGTTTAGGTTTAGCTTTAAATCAAAGAAAAGACATACGATTCTTACATTAAATCTCATAATACATCAAGCGGGAGATGAAGTTACAACTAAAGTGAAGAGCAAAACAAATTATATAATCCCTTAAAATAATTTTTAAAATATAGTATATTTCTGAGCTCACCGAGTATTCCGCCGGAGCTGGGAAGGCCAAACTGTTATGGGCTATGACCTTAAATGGATTTCCCCCACACGGTCCTGGAGCTGGAACGGCAAAGCTACCTGCTATAACTCTTAAATGGAGAAAAATTAGGTCTTTAGAGATCACGGCGAAGAGGTCAGTTAGAGTCAGGAGAATCAGCAATGAACATATGCAATATATAGTAGCTGACACACGGAGGAACGATTTCAAAGTGAACATCTTGCCGATGAGAGCAAGGGATAAGGGGTGATGAGAGCAAGGGATAAGAGCTGGAAGGAAATGTGATGGATAGAATCATAGATTCCTAGGCTTAGATAGAGGGTTCCAGACAAGTGAGTTCCAGATGGGCCGCATGAAATATCTATCCAAATTTTCCTTTTTTCATCTGTTCCAAAATTATCTTCTCTTTCTTTTTTTGGTAAAAAAATTGTGATTCACAACAATTCTTACACAATTTTCTCTCCTCTGCACAAGTCTCCACCACACAAAACTCACTATCTTAATCCCCGTGTCGGATTAAAGGAGGAGACAATATAGGAACAGAGGGAGTAACTTTTAGTTCTTTAAAAGTCAGGGTCAATGGCTTTCTCACGTAGGGTTGTTTTTAAGGACCCCTGTTTTTTGTCATTATCAAATCTATGTTGTTGTGTCACGAGGCACCACACGCCAAGAATTGAAAATATTGATATGCAACGACGAAGACATCCAAAGTAGTTCCACAATAAACGTGATGTATCTCGAGGTTTTTCAAAATGTGTAATTCTACCTTTTGTAATATAATCATTTTCGTATTGCATTTGTATTCGTTATACCAAATATAAATGTCGTTTTGTGCTAAGTTATACATGTATTACATTTTTATTTAAAACAGCTACTCCCTAATTTCAATTTATTTCAAACATTTTTTACCTAAAAAAAGTATTTGTTCCCGTGCATCGCACGGGTTACATACTAGTAAGTTTTAAAAAACAGCCGTACTCACTTATTGGGGTCATGTATAATTGTATATGCTTATATGTTTTATTAGGACGTTTTTAAGTAGATTGATTTCACTCTTCCCATCAATAAAACTAAATCAAACTTAAACAAACGAAATTAAACATATGCATCAAACAAACATCAATCGAGCCATAAGCCATTCCAATTAAACAGATTTATATGATCCTTCAAATTAATATCGGGATTAAAGTCTAATTTATATGCTACTTAATCCGTATCACAAAGGATGAAGAGAATAGTTTTGGAAATTTACTTTTTAAATCTTTTGCCCACAAGTCAACACCCCAATAAGTAATTACACATCATAATAAGGAAAGTTAACTACTACAGTAGCATATCAATTATACTCTGTTTATAAGAACTAGGGAGAGTTGCTCTGAGCGGAAGAGGAAGTGGAAGGTGGAGGGTTGCCAGGTGACGGTTCGAAAGGGAACGGAGGGAAAGGAAATGGGAAGAACGGGGCCGGAGGTGGCGGTGGAGAAGGAGATGGAGTGAATCCTGGAATGGGTGGGAACAATGGAGGGAATACCGAAGCCGGCGGAGTGGGAGGCGCGGGAAAAAGCGGTGGGAATATTGAAGGCGGAGACGAAGGAGGCGGTGGGAGAAGTGGTGGAAATATTGAAGGCGGCGGGGATGGGAACAGCGGAGGGAAGATCGGCGCAGGCGGAGAAGGGATTATCGGAGGAATTATGGACGGCGGCGGCAGTAAAGGGTTGGGCGGAAGTAAAGAAGGCGGCGGCAGTAAAGGGTTGGGCGGTATAACGCCAAATGGAGGGAAAATAACAGGCTCAACTTGCTCTACTACTTTCTTTGCCGAATTACCATTATTAGGCTGCTCCTGGTTGCATAGCTCCGGCGGTTTGAGCGGCCGGAAAGTGAAAGAGCCGGCTGAGAAAACCACATAGTTCCCTTCCTTCTTCCTTTCCTCATTAATGAGGTAAATCGGAGACGTGGCGGCCGACGCCACGGCACAGTTCGGATCGCCGCTGCTTATCAGAGTAACAGAGCATCGTCCCCTGATTTTCTTGGCGACAGAGAAAGGGAGGCGCACGGTGAATTCTCCGCCGTCGTTCGTCTTCACTTCCCGGCGAAAACTTGGTCGCCGCTGCCGCCCCTTACTCCACGCTCCACACTCAACCGCAACAGAGGCTCCTGATGATGACCGACCAGAGTTACAAACATCAGCATTTCAAACGTGGCAACAATATCATAGGACAAAAAGGAAAGTCCCCGAAATAGGACTAAAACAGTTTCAAAATTCCAAAATAGAATTGTCATATTTTTTATTCCCAAAATAGGATTATTTACTGTCATGTTTAGAAAATACTGACATGTTTGAAATCTGGTACTGCCAAAACATGACAGTAATTAGCCCTATTTTGGGAATAAAAACATGAAAGTCCTATTTTAGAATTTTTAAACTGTTTTAGTCATATTTCGGGTAATATCTCATATTCTAAATATAGGATTTACGGAGTATTATACGTTTCGATTAATAAGTTGATACTTTTTTTTATTGATTTTGATATAGCTATTTGCCTATTTCGATTCAAAACTAAATTCAGGCATTTTTACTTTCATTGTAAATGAATTTTTTAGAATTAATGGCAAGATTAGTTCCAATAAGAGCTCATTTGGTAATTCTACTTTTCGGTTTATCAAGCTCATCGATCAACTTTTTAATGAAACACGTATTTTTTTCTGGTTGTATTGACCGGAGTTACTGTAAAAGACTATTTTAGTTATTTTTTCATATAATTTTTTCTTTACGTATTAATAAAATACGTAGTATATTTTAAATATAATTTTTCATAAATCAACAGAATCATTCAATACAACCACTTCAGCCAGAACTTCATAAATTTAAACAGAATCAGTCGATTCAGACGATTTCAGTGTTACCAAATGATCTCTAAAAATTACAGAGTAAAAAATAAGATCAAGTACTACTTATGTTTTATTCTCTAAATATAACTTATGTAATTACAAAAATTCCTTTTGTACACTTTTTTATACACATCAGTACATCCCGTGTCTGTGAGAGTTTTTTTTTGTCTGTGGATATCAGTCTACAGAAAAAAAGTGACTTGTTTTGTTTGTAGAATTTTTCACAGACAAAACAAACCGATTTTTTAATGTGGACTGAGATTCACAGACACGGGATGTGGTGATGTGTATAAGAAGGTGTACACCAAGAATTGTTGATGTAATTAATCCTCCTAAAAGAATAAGTCAATTAAACTTTTCAAAAGAAGAGTGAATGACTTCTATTTTAAGAATAAAACAATGATCCTATTCATAAACATTAACATTGTTTTTGTTGTAAGAATTTTTTCCTTACCTTATTTGTTTTAGTGATTTAGTCCCGCAAATGACCAAATAAATCAGTGTTTAAAAATAGAGCCAGAGTATTATATAAAGTGCGAAAATGCACTAACTAAGAAGGAATGAACCTGAAATGAAGTGGGTATCAGGTCTGGAGAAATGTTGGGAGCAAGTATCATCACAGTAGACGGTGCCCACAAGAAGTGGAGGATAAAGCCGGCCGCCGCGTCTGGGGACGGCGGCGTTGTTCTTTGAAATTGTTATTGAGCATATGATTAAGAACACAATCCACGAAGAACATACTTTCCATATCATTTTTGCAGCAAGAACACAATTCACGCACAATAAACTGAAACAAAGGAATTAATAACAGAAATTGAGTACTATACATAGGTGGAAGGTTGATTTTTAATGAGAGGAATTTTGTTTTTGTAGTAGTAGGTAGGGAACGAGAATCATGTCAGCTGTTGTCAGTCCAAGGTCCCACTTGGTTCACGAGATGCTTAATCTTTTGAAAAAAAAATAGAAAAATCTATTGAGAAATTGTTTTTATACACATTTTTATTTTGTGAATAAAAAATAGAAAAATCTATTGAGAATTTGTTTGTGAATAATCTATTCATAAACAAGCCGGCTGAATTAATTACTTCATCTGTGGTTCATGGAGTAATACACCTCCCTTCTTTGTTTAGTAAGAGAATTTACTCCAAATAAGACTAAAACAGTTTGAAAATTCCAATGTTTAAGTGACAATTAATATATTTATTTATTTACTCTACATGCTTGGTGTACACAAATTTCATACACCTCTATTTAAGGAGTACAAATAAGCTAATGTCATTTATAGTAATTTTAAAACCAACCAGTCATTTCAGCCAACCTATTATCAAACACTTTCACTTCATCAAATTCAATCTTTTCAGACTTTTCAGCCATTCCAGCCAATACAGCTGTTACCAAACAGGCCCTATATTTACCGTTAATCACCCCACTTTTTTTACTTTTTTTTCTCGATTCCTTTTTGTTTCTCCCTCCGGCCCCAGTCTCTCAACACCCTGGCTGGACAGAAACGCCACAATCGGTGAAGCTTTTCTTTTTTTGCCTTCCGACTAGGGTTGTAAACGAATCAAATAATTTATGCTCGATTCACGATTCGAATTCGTATAAGACTATTCAAATTTGAAAAATACAAATACAAATACAAATAAGAATACTAAATTTGATTCGAATTGTTATCAAATACAAATAAGAATATCAGTGTATTCGATTCGAATGTTAATCAAATATATTCGATAAATAATAGTGATGATATTAATAATAATATTAGTAACATTATAATAATTATTAAAAGATACCTATACCCGCAAATCCACCTCATCCATATGTGTACTTTCCAAAGCGTCAAATGAACAAAATAGCCTGTAGCATAGACGTCTCTCGCATCTGAACTTTGGAGACCTCAATATACTATCCACTAGGAAACATGTGAAGGGACTACCACCGTTGAAGACTTTCACTCACAAGCATTTCTTTGCATGCAAACTTGGTAAAATGTGCAAATCCTCTCATAAGTCAAAACAATTCCCATCCTCCTCACACCCGCTACATCTGCTTCATATGGATCTATGTCGACTAATGTGCATCCAAGTCATCAATGACACAAGTGTACTCTTTTCACTGTGGATGATTTTTCGTGGTACACATGGACCAAGTTCCTACGCTCTAAAGACGAAATTGCAAGGTCCATTATGACCTGTATAAGGACAATTAATTAAGAACTTCCTCCAGAAGAGCGTGCGGATCCCTAAAACTAACAATGCGACTGAACTCAAGAATAAGCAACTCACTGACTTCTATGAATCTCAAGGAATCACACAACATTTTTAGCTACCAAAACTCCACAACAAAATGGAGTAGCGGATCGGAGAGAAGAAACAGGACCCTAGTTAAAGTAGCAAGAATCATGCTTATCCAATTCAAGCGTCCTCATTTCATGTGGGCCAAAGCTATCAATACTGCTTGCTTCACACAAATTCACACCTCAATTCATAAATGCTTCAACAAGGCTTCCTATGAAATTCTATTCAAGTGAACCACAGATATCTCATTCTTTCGAGTCTTTGGTTGCAAGTGCTTCATTCTGAATGATAAGGGTGAAAGAGGCAAGCTGGATCGAGATAAAAAATCTTTTAACTATTCCTTAACTGCTCCAAAATTTTGCATGCTTTGAACAAATATGTTGGTCCAAAATAGGACGCTCGTAGGCTTTTAGGAAAGCTACGTACGACACTCAAGCAAGAATTAGGAAAGTACGAATATGGAAAGTTAGCCAGAAATAGCATATAGAAGTTGTCTCCCCTAATCTGAATTACAACCCGCCTTTTATAGGCGTATACAAATCGTAACCGTTACCGATAATAATGACTAATTAATTACAACATTAATACGGAATTAAATACATAATTAATAGCGCATTAATTGCTCGAACGTTACTCTTCCGGGCTAGGAGGTCGGCCGGACTGGCAGGCTCCCCGCTGGGCTGGCTGGCAGGCTCCAGGTTATGGACTTGGATCCATGGGTCCAAGTTCGGGGCTTGGGCTGATTAGGCTCTGGGCCTAGTCCCATTACTCCATCACGAGTCCCTGATACGTTCGTAATTTCCATATCTATGTTTATGTTTTTAATTAGTTTTGCTTGACTTTTACTTTGGAAATTACACACTTTTGGTGTAATAGATTAGATTGTTAAATTCTTGTAAATAGGTTAGATTAGATATATTCTGAGCTTAAGCAGGTTTTGGTCACTCAAAGTACAGTTGGTGAACCCAAAAAGTGAAGAGAAGGTGCAAAAGTTCAAAGATAAAAGAAGATCCTGAATTTTGGTCTATACTCGGTCGAGTATTAGCTATACTCGATCGGGTATTAGGTTGGAACTTCAAATCGGATCAGATCCGAAGACAAGGGAACATGCAGGGAAGATTTCAACCACGATTTTGTGTCTATACCCGATCGGGTAGACCGACATACCCGATCGGGTATGCCTTTGAATTTCAAAAGAATTTCGGTCGAGTATGGTTCGAATACCATTTTCTAAGCATACTCGACCGGGTATGCATATATACTCGATCGGGTATACTCTTAGAAAATACCCTGAAACCGGTCGAGTATAGGGCTGCACAAAATTTCCCCGAACCCGCAAAACCCGGCCGATCCGACCCTACCCGGCCGACTTTAGTCGGTTATTGGGCCCATAAAAAATGTTGTGGGTTTATTTTTTAAAAACCCGTACATTTGGGTAGGGTTGCGGGATTCCCATGAAAAACCCGATAACCCCCCGACCCGGCAGCCTAATTTAATATTCGTACATGCGCCTCTACGTATTCTGCATTTCTTCTTTAATTTTTTTGTTCTCTGGCTCTATACTTTCCGATTCCCACCTCATCGATGCTCTCAATCTTTAATTTGTTTCGACTCTTCAATTCTCAAAATATGAAAGCTTCAAATTCTTCAATCTTCTTCGTAATAGGCTCAGGATATTTTAGCTATTTATATGCGACCAACAGCCCTAAGCCCCTAAGTCCGATTTTCATCTTCTTTCTCTGGCAGTCAAGAACTCAGGATCCTTCAAGGCTTCAAGAAGAGTTGATCAGTTGAGCTACGAAAAGAGGTATGCACCCATCTACTTTGTTAATCCGACACTTAGTTGGTTTACAATTTTATTCTTTTCTTAATTTTTCATTTATTTCATATAATTCAGAAATTTCTTTCGTTATTTTTGTGTAGATGGATTCACTTGATGTGTCTGGTTCAGTTAATTTAAGCTTAGAAACAATAGACACACCTAGCCTTGCAAATCTCACCCCCTCTGAGAATCAAACCCCCCCTCATGTTCGAGTCAGTGATGTTGAGGTAGAAAAAGGATCTTCAGGGAAAAAGAAATCTTACCTTTGGAGTCATTTTACTCTCATTCCGGGGAGGGATCCAAAAGACCCTAAGTGCTCTTGCAACTATTGTGGAGCAGAATACAAATGTGACAGTAGGAAGCATGGAACTAGTAGCATGAAAGTTCATTTTGAGCATCAATGTAAAAAAAATCCACACAAAGTCCAGGATAAGAAACAAAAATGCTTGAGCTTTGACATAGCAGGAAATGGTGGTTTGACTGCTGTAGGATTCAATAAAGACAATTGCAGGCTAGCTTTAGCAAAAATGGTTGTCGTGGATGAATTGTCTTTTAGATTTGTTGAGGGTGAAGGATTTATGAAGTTCTGTCAAGTAATGCAGCCCAGATTTGTTATCCCTTCTCGTATGACTGTTGCTAGGGATGTATATAAGCTATTTTGTGATGAAAAGAAAAAACTGCAGGCTGACCTAAACAAGGGAAACCAGAGAGTATGCTTGACCACAGATTGTTGGACCTCTTTGCAAAATATAAACTATATGTGCTTAACTGCTCACTACATTGATGCTGAATGGAATTTGTGTAAAAAAGTTTTAAACTTTTGTCAAATTTCTAGTCATAAGGGGGAGTTAGTTGGTAAGGTCATTGAATCTTGTTTGCATGATTGGGGCATTGATAGAGTTTTAACAATTACAGTTGATAATGCCTCTTCTAATGACACTATGATTGCATTCATGAAAAGAAAATTGAATAGCTGGAAAGGTTCTGTTTTGGGAGGGGATTTTATGCATATTAGGTGTTGTGCTCACATCATTAACCTAATTGTGAGCGAGGGATTAAAAGACCTTCATGATTCGATTTCTGCAATTCGTAATGCGGTGAGGTTTATCCGGAGTTCTCCAGCTAGACTTTCAAAATTTAAAACATGTGTTGAGAGGGAAAAAGTTGAGTTTAATGGGCTGTTAGTGTTAGATGTACCCACTAGATGGAACTCTACATACCTGATGTTGGATTCAGCCATTAAATTTCAAAGTGCATTTGAGAGGTATGAAGATGAAGATGACAAGTATTTGTCTTATTTTGGTGAGGAGGAAGGTGGAAAAAAAAAGGCCCTCCAACTTACACTGATTGGGAGAATGCAGCAGTGTTTGTCAAGTTTCTGAAAGGGTTTTATAACACTACTTTGAAGTTTAGTGCAACCTTAAATATCACATCAAATGCCTACTTCCATGAGTTATGTGAAATGCAAAGTCAGGTATATACTTTCATATTATGCATTTTTTACTTCTTTTTATCTACTTCTCAAGTTTTATATGATAATAATGAAAATAATCCTTTTGTTTTGTGATTTGTCAGCTCACATACTTAAGCAATCAGAAGGGCTCTCTGCTTTCCAAGATGGCTGCTAGCATGAAGAAAAAATATGATAAGTATTGGGGGGGATATTAATAATGTTAATTGTATCTTGTTGGTGACAGTAGTACTTGATCCTAG